ATGCATATGCGTTCGGCTCGACTGAGCCGCTCGGCCATGTTCGGGAGCTGTACGGGCTATAGTGAATAGCCCGTACAGCACCCCTTCGGTTCTGCTGAACCGAAGGGGTCCTGGGGCCGAAGCTAGCCGAAGGATCGGCTGAAGCTACGGCTAGATCCTTTGGCAGCTTAGTGAATAGACCCCATAATCTCTTAGCATGTTAGGCCGTCGGATAGGCGCGTGGGCACACTAACACTATTTGGAGGACTTGATTCTGCCGTTCAGTGACCACGCAGGCGCATTGATTGGAGTTCAATGACTCGATGAGCATTCTGACAGTGGCACAGCTTTAATTTTATAATCCATTCAATTAGGTGAAACAGAGGTTAAGAGTTTTGAGTATGTCTACTGTATATTTAAAACATTTTTTTAACATTTTATTTAAAAAAAAAAAAAAAAAAATTGCAATGTTTAACATATTGTAAATCTAATATATTCTCTTGCAGTTGTACAATGTCCACATTTGCTAAATGAACCACCGGCATATATGAATTGTTCCCATCGTTGGGGAATTTACAGTTTTGAATCCCTCTGCCACTTTGAATGTTGTGATGGATTTTTCCTTAATGGAATGGATGATATCCAGTGTCTTTCTTCTGGGAACTGGAGTGAAGCAACTCCACATTGCTCAGGTAATGAAATGAAGACAAGCAGTTAAAAAAAAAATTTAAGTTGCAATTCTTCCCACTTAATGCTGGTTTTAGACAAAATCATACCCTGGGCAAAAACGAAAATGAATCCTTGTATATAATTTTGCATCAAAGGCACAATATAGTTTTATAGGTAAACAAAAGTCACTAGTAAAGTGCCATATTATCAGAATCACATTGGGTTAATAGTACTGGAGCAAGATGGGTGCTATGGTACCAGGTGGATGCTGTGCAATCAGTATTGCCATTTTGGCAGTGCCAGAATTGACCGAAATGATACCATGATAACATATCTGCTGAGACTATAAATAATGGAGAAAGGAAAAAAATAGAAGAAAGTGTATTAACGGTGACAGAGTAAGGTACATGTTCAAGAGGTAATTGTGTATTTGATTACAGTAGTTTCTTGAAACCCAAAATGAATCAGTACCCTAACATAAAAGCTCAGGGAAAATATATGTATCCACACAATGCGGATATTGCACTAGATGCATGTGATGGTGGTCAAGAAACCTTTATTATCCTGTGTGGGATAGTTCTGGTAAATATTGTGACAGGTGAATAGTTTAAACCTCAAACAAAGTATATGCAGAGGTGTATTAGTTTAAGTAAAACTTCTATGAAAAGAAAAAAGATCAAAGAAACTGATGAATGCTTGAAGTCAAGTCTCATTTACTAATAAGCATAATACATCCCTTCAATGTGTTTTGTGGCTTATCTGGCCACTTGGGGGTTTATAGCTATACATCATCTAGGTCCTAGGAGATCACACTCACTTCTACAATTTTTAAGTACAAAATGAGCCAAACATCTATTTCATATGACAGAAAAATAAAAACTGAGTTTTCAGAGCAATAAATCATACATCCAATCTTCCTACCTCTAGCAGCTCCAGTTTTTAATTATGGGGTCTATTCACTAAGCTGCCGTAGGCAGATGAGTGAATGACCGACCTGAAGCAAAGTGAGCCGAACGCTGTTCGGCTATTTACTTCAGGCTGGTGCGGCTGATGTCAGCCGTATATCGGCTGAAATCAGCCGTACATCGGGTGGCTTTGGGTCGGCCGAACATGCTCAGCATGTTTGGCCGACCCGAAGTGCAGAAGGAGTTCGACTCAGCCGATCCAACATCTGGATCGGCTAAGCCGAACCTCCGGCAGGCTACTCGCTGCTGTTCGGTCTATTCTTATAGATGCTGAACAGCAGTGAGTGAATAGCCGAATGCCGCTGAGCGGCATTCGGCTCGGCTGTTCTACTCGGTCCCTCTGTAGGACCGAGCAGAACAGAAAAATAGTTCAAAAGGTAGAAAAAAATAAATAGAAAACGATTGTGCGGAGCTAGCAGTGACAGCTAGCTCCGCCCAACTGTTTTTTATTGGCCGGTGGTTCTGCTGCCGTCAAAAAAAAAAATCACCATAGGAATGCATTGCTAGCTTCCTATTGGCTATTTTAATTTACAATAGCCAATAGCAAACTAGCTATTGTACCCGCCCTCTGCTGCTGTCAATCACTAGTGGGGACCTGATGGAGAACTGCAGCAGAGGGCGGGTACAATAGCTAGTTTGCTATTGGCTATTGCAAATTGAAATAGCCAATAGGAATCTAGCAATGCATTCCTATGATGACAAATGTATTTATTTATTTTTTTCTATTCTGACACGGAGCCGTGTCAGATTAAAGAAAAAAAAGAAAAATCAGTGTTTCTCTCCTTGGCGGCCGGGAGCGGGAGACTCCCGGAGCGCCCGGGAGAGTTAGGCTGTCTGGAGATCAGTGTCCCTGGTTAGCTGGTAATCTGGATCTCTCTGCAAGTGGCCGGAGCCAGCCGTAAGATCACCCGCCCAGCTGTCAGAAGCAGGCTGTCGGCCGGCCGCTCGGCCAGCTTCGGCTTTCAGCGTGGCTCAGCTGAGCCGAGGCATATGCGTTCAGCTCGACTGAGCCGCTCGGCCAAGTTCGGGATAGCCCGTACAGCAGCCCTTCGGTTCTACTGGATCGAAGGGGTCCTGGGGCCAAAGCTAGCCGAAGGATCGGCCGAAGCTACGGCTAGATCCTTCGGCTGCTTCGTGAATAGACCCCTATGTTTTTTTAGAATTAACCAAAGCAGTCAAAATGGTGACACGGGCAGCAATAAAAATTTGTCAAAAGGTCTAACCCTTCCCCACTCTATCCAAAACTCAAAAAAAGTTTTTTTCTATAGATACCCTTTGAAAAACGTCCACTAAAAAGATATTATGCCATCAAAGCTAATTTTCTACAGTAAAACAGATAAACACTCAGAAATGAATGACTCTGGAAAAAAACCCTCCCCAAAAATTCCAATTATTTTATTCCTCTTAAAAGTAAAGAAGGCTATGATAATTGTTTCTATAAAACTGTGGTGGAAGATGTTTTCACACTACAAGCATAAACCAGATAAATGCTTCCGCTTTTTCATTTTATTTCTTCTAGATGGGTATCATTTAGCACACCCTCATGTTAGTTGATATTGAATCTAGTGATGTCTGATCATTTCCCTTACTATGTTTTTGTCTTATCCTTTGGTATTGTCTGTGTGCGACTGGTTTTAAAGCCTGTTATTTTATTTGCTTCTCTTTATGGGAACACTTATGTATGGTATTAGTGTTCTTTCCAGTTTACGTATTGCTAGCCTACCTGCTAGCCTTAGCTTGTTCTTGTGGACTTGTGGCAACCCTTCCCAGAATCTATAGTTAACACACATAAAGCATTCTGGAAAATGGCTGCTAAATAGCTGTGCAGCAGAAGTTATAGCAGCTGGACTAGTGCCCCTAACTGAAAGGGAGTAGTTGATTACTCTAGAACACTTTAGAACTGATAAGTGAACCAATGTTTATGAGACTCCTAAAAGCATACTTGCCCATCCTACATTATATATATGCCTCACCCAGCACAGAAGGTACGGCACGTCACTGGTGTGTATATATACAGTAATGTACAGATGTTTTAGGCAGGTATGTTTTAGGCAGGTGCAAATGTTTTAGGCAGGTATGTAAGAATGCTTTCAGAAATAAAAGTGTTAATAGTTTATTTTTATCAATTAACAAAATGGAAAGTAAATGAACAGAAATCCAAATCAATATTTGGTGTGACCACGTACACTTTGCCTTCAAAAAAGCATCAGTTCTTCTACGTACACGTGCACAAAGTTGTTAAAGGAACTCGGCAGGTAAGTTGTTCCAAACATCTTGGAGAACTAACCCAGATCTTCTGTGGATGTCGGCTGCCTCAAATTATTCTGTCTCTTCATGTAATCCCAGACAGACTCAATAATGTTGAGATCAGGGCTCTGTGGGAGTCAAGCCTTCACTTCCAGGACTCCTTGTTTTTCTTTACGCTGAAGATAGTTCTTCATGACATTGGCTGTATGTTTTGGGTCCTTGTCAAGCTGCAGAATAAATTTGGGGTCAATCACTCCCTGATGGTATGGCATGATGGATAAGTATCTGCTTGTATTTCACAGCATTGAAGACACCATTGATCCTGACTAAATCTCTAACTGCACTGGCATAAATGCAGCCCCATACTTGCAAGGAACCACCACCATGTTTCACTGTTGCTGCAGACATTCATTATTGTACCGCTCTCCAGCCCTTTGGCGTCCAAACTGCCTCCTGCTAAAGCCAAATATTAAAAATTTTGACTTATCAGTACAGAGCACCTGCTCCCATTTTCCTGCGGCCATGTGGCCAAAAAGTCATACCTCTGACGTGGAAACAAGGCTAAGCGACTCAATTATGCATGAAAACATAGGAACTGGGGTGCAGTCTATCTAGGATTACAGGAAGAGACAGAAGGATTTGAGGTAGCCTACATCCACAGAAGATCTGTGCTTAGTTCTCCAAGATGTTTGGAACAACCAACATGCCGAGTTCCTTCATAAACTGTGTGCATGTGTACCTAGAAGAATTTATGCTGTTTTGACGGCAAAGTGTAGTCACACCAAATATTGACTTGATTTGGATTTCCGTTCTGTTCATTTACTTTCCATTTTGTTAAATGATAAAAATAAACTATTAACACTTTTATTTCTGAAAGCATTCTTACTTTACAACATATTTTCACAGCTGTCTAAAAACGTTTACACAATACTGTATTTATACACACACCAGTGACGTGCCGTGCCTTCTGTGCCTCCAGCTTGCCAAAGCTCTGCCCCGTCCAGCCAAAGCCCTGCCCCCCCGCTCAGTAACCAAGCTGTGTACAGATGAGAAAGGGAGGAGTCCCTGTCCCTCACTTGCTCGTCACTGGTGAGGCATCGAGATTGATGTCCTCACTGTTTTTTTTTCCCTTTCTTTTTATTGTCATTGGTCCAAGCCATCCACAGGGCTCACACCTCTAACACAGAGTAGAGAATGTGACAGCTCTTGCCTCACCAAGTTAGGTTACACAAGCAGTGGGGAAGCCCGCTGCTGTGTAACCTAACTACCTGTCAAAAGCCGGATGCATGTGTCCATGACAGGTTACACAGCGGGGAGGCTTTCACTGCTGTGTAATCTGTAACAAGCCGCTCTGAATGGAGAAAAAGCTGTCAGCTTTAGACTTGAAGCTGACACCTTTTTTCTTCATAATACTAGGTGAGGCTCTGCCTCACCTGCCACTCCTGACCGCACGTCCCTGACACACACACACACACACACACACACACACATAAGAATATTGCATCAAAGGGACCAAGGTTAGTTTGCATTCAGACATGTTAGTAAGAACTAACAGTTTTAATGAGCCTGGCAAAGTTCAGGGTCAATAGTCAGTTACTGTATTTCTACTATGACAGGGAAAAGCAATTTGCTGCTTTGTTAGATTATTTTTTTTTTTTAAGTTTCATTAAGTCTTAGGTAATCAAATTTTAACTTAAACAAGTTACAAATTATTGAGTTAATTTTAAAATACAGTAGATTTAGAAACAATAATGTATTCTTTTGCAGCTGTACAATGTCCACATTTGCTAACTGAACAACCATATACAAAATATATGAATTGTTCCCATCCTTGGGGAAATTTCAGTTTTGAATCCATCTGCCACTTTGAAAATCACTTACCTCATAGTTCTCCTATAATCCAAGTTTTAATTAATCTTTCACACTCAAATCTTATTTAAGCTTGATTAACCAATTTTCGCAAATTCCATTTAAACACAGTAGATAAAAACCTGATGATGAAACTGTAACACATATATACAGTATATCTCTTACTTACTTACTTCTTGGCGAGGAATCTGACACTGCACTGTTGCCCTTCTGTTGTCTTGTACCAGTCTTGCCACTCTCCGTTCTACCCTAACATTGACTAGTCGCTGACGGACACAATTCGCACGTTCAGACCCAGATTTTCAGCTGACAGTCCAGTCTTTAAACACTTTAACAGCTGCTCTTGAACATTTAACGAATTCTGCTGTTTTGCTGATACTCGCTCCATGGCTCCGAGCGCCAACAATCATCCCACGTTCAAAGGCTGTTAAATCGCGTTGTTTACCCATATCTTCAGAAAAAAAATATAGCAATAGTTAATTACTGATGCTTCCTACTTTAAAAGAGTAAACATAAGCCTTTCTTTTTCCTTTCTAAAGAATTTGTGATAATATCAAAACATTTTTCAGATTACTTCCACAGAAAATCCTTTTGAATTAAAATATCCCTTTGGATATTGTCACTGAATGAAAATGAATGGCATAGGCAGTAGAAAGAAAAACAAAAGAATTACATGATTAAAATGTCTACAGGCTTTTCAACCATCCCCGTTATGTGTGAAACATTTCTAGCATGTAGGGAAATGATTAACTACTTCATACATAACATATACACTGTGGCCAGATTATTATGACCACCCCATCAGTACTTCGTTGGACCACCTTTTGCCTTCAATACTGCGGCGATACTTCTTGGCATTGACTCCACGAGATGTTGAAAGGTGATGCGAGGAATCTGACACTGCACTGTTGCCCTTCTGTTGTCTTGTACCAGTCTTGCCATAACATTGACTAGTCGCTGGCGGCCACAATTCACACGTTCAGACCAAGATTTTCGGCTGACAGTTCAGTCTTTAAACACTTTAACAACAGCTGCTCTTGAACATTTAACGAATTCTGCTGTTTTGCTGATACTCGCTCCATGGCTCCGAGCGCCAACAATCATCCCACGTTCAAAGGCTGTTAAATCGCGTTGTTTACCCATATCTTCAGAAAAAAATCACTTCTACAGTCGTGGCAAACAACCTGCTTCCCTATTTATAATGGTCTGGCCCTCTAGCAACTTCAGCGCAAAATTATAGCTAATTTGCCTACAAACGTCAGGTGGTCATAATAATCTGGCCACTCAGTGTATATCCAAGAACATAAATATAAAGTTAAAGATTGCCCTTGAATCCGTAGTGCTCCATACTCCCGGTGACTGTGAGACACAAACCACACTCATCAAATATCCATGATCCTGTAAAAAGAGTGGTCAGTGGTCAGAAGAATTGATTCATTTACTTTCCATTTTATTAAAACGAAAAAACATAAGCGCACAACTGATAATTGGTTACTGGAAAAAACACGGGCTATGAATTATGGTGTGCAGGCTCTCACTAGCAGGGAGAGGACCCTGCAAATTCGAATGGTAAACAGAAAAACACAAGAAAGAGCGCTACTACCTGATATTGAATGGCATCTATTCATGAGAGAAGGAACAAATATATATGACTTACAGTTGGAAGTCTGCAAATGTGTCGAGGATGGTGAAACAAGGAACGGTGTACAGAGGGAGTCCAAGAACAAAATACTGCAGCACTGGATGGATGAGGGAGCGCTGTGAAGTTACCTAGCGGCACGCGTGCACGGCTGGCCAGGCCGGGCCACGGCGGCTGAGGGGGGAAGGACCGCGGCGGTTGTGGAACCGGGACCGCGATCGGCGGTGTTCGGTGCGTGTGTAGTGGAGTCAAATCGATGGGCAAAGTGGACGCTGTGCACAGACGGGCTCGCTGTATCGTGATGACTACGTGTTTCGAGGCACAACCTCTTTGTCAAGTCTTAGGGCAAAGATCTTTGGTAACCAAGCTGTGTGGGAGGAGACAGGGAGGAGCTTGCTCATCACTGGTGAGGCATCGAGATCGATGTCCTCACTGTTTTTTTTCTTTTCTTTTTTTTGCCATTGGTCCAAGCTAGGGATGTCCAGATACCGATGCTAGTACCGGTATCGGGGCCGATACAGGGCATTTTCAGGAGTACTTGTACTCCTGAAAAGGCCATGCATAGATCAGATACCGGCCCTTTACATTTTTTAACTAGCTTTGGCCAGTGACCCCCATAGCCCCTCCCCTGGAATACCTCTCCACCAAACGCAGGCTCCCTCTCCGGTCTGACCTCTGCGAACGGAAGTGTGACAGCATGGCGGGCGGTAAGTGTTATGTGTGGACAGGTTCTTCTCCCTGCTGGTGCTGGCTGCAGAGCTCTGTGTCCCTTTCACAGACCTCTGTAGCCGGCATGAGAAGGCAGAAGAGAATACAGCTGTGAAATCCCCGCTGCCCCCCTCCCTCCTGCCCCCTGTATGTTAGCTGCTGCTGCTCCTCCGTGTCCCCTCCTTTTCAACTTGGTAAAACTGTTTGCTTTTGGTGATATATCACAAAGTGTGAGATGTCCGTGCTCCTTATGTGTAATGCATTCACCCGACCTACACAGCAGTTTTCACTCTCATTGAAAGAAGAGAATGTCCATTCAGTGTGCTCACGGGGGAGGAGATGAGAGAAGCTGTAAATCTTGCCTTCACACAGAATGGACCTTCTCTTCTTTCATTGAGAGGGAAAACTTCTGTGTATGTCTGGTGAGGGCATTATTAAACACATAAGGAGCACGGGCATCTGACACTGAGATATACCACCAAAAGCAAACAGTTTCATCAAGTGGAAAAGGAATCGACACTTGTAAAATTAGCCAGCCTGCTATTAGATATTTTAAATTGCAATAGCCAATAACAGGCTGGCTACCCGCCCATTGACTGCTGTCAATCAGCAGAGAGGACCTGATTGAGAACTTTGTCTTCAGTTCCCTCCTTTGCTGATTGACAGCATGCAGTGGGCGAGTACAATAGCCAGCCTGCTATTGGCTATTGCAATTTAAAATATCCAATAGCAGGCTGGCTATTGCTCCCAGCCACTGCCTGCTGTATTTACATTCAGTGAATCCAGTGAAGTAGAAAGGTGTACACACACACACACACACACACACACACACACAAAATAATATTGCATCAAAAGGACTAAGGTTAGTTTGCATACAGACATGTTAGTAAGAACTAACAGTTTTAATGAGCCTGGCAAAGTTCAGGGTCAATAGTCAGTTAATTCTACTATGACAGGGAAAAAGCAATTTGCTGCTTTGTTAGTTTTAAAAAAAAAGTCTTAGGTAATCAAATTTTAACTTAAACAAGTTACAAATTATTGAGTTAATGTTAAAATACAGTAGATTTAGAAACAATAATGTAACTCTCAAAGATGCTCCTGTATTCTTTTGCAGCTGTACAATGTCCACATTTGCTAACTGAACAACCAAAGTATATGAATTGTTCCCATCCTTGGGGAAATTTCAGTTTTGAATCCATCTGCCACTTTGAATGTCTTGATGGATTTTCCCTTAGTGGAATGGATACTATCCAGTGTCTTTCTTCTGGGAACTGGAATGAAGCACCTCCCCATTGCTCAGGTATGGAAATAAAATGGAAAGTATAATGTATTTTCAGTGAGCACATATTTTTTAAATAATATTTAGTCTTTGCCTGAAGTCATTTTTATGTTACTTTCTCATACTTGCAAGTTTCTTCTTTTTTGTTATTATATTAGATGTGTAAATTTGTTAATTAGCCACTATAGGTAGGGTAGACTAGCTATTTCAGTAACCGTGTCTTTTGAAAACTGTTGACAACATATTAGACGCACAGGGACAGCATTGTTTTTAATGAGGCAGGAGAGTCATAGACTTGCTGAAGGAGTGGAAAGCATAATCCAACTAAAACTTACAGTGCTACACAATAACCATATAACATAACTATTAAAACAAACCTATAAAAAGAGCACTGTGTAGCACTGTAAAGCAGGAGTTATTATGCATTTGTAATCATCAAACATGTCTGCTCAAATTTACATATTAAATTACAAACTAAACATAGATTTTTTTTAAATCAAGATTAACACACATTGATAAGAGTATTTATATTAAGCTGATCTTGTTCATATGTATGTCTTAAAAATCATTGAAAAGACAATGTATATCCCTGTAAGCCACAGCACATTGTAAAAGGGATAAAGTAACAAAAATGTGGAAAAGCCCAAGCTTGTAAATGCGTATGCACAGTACTAGATATAAGAACATGGTAACAAATAGGCTGATAAACTAAACATTCCGCGATATGGAAAGACCCAAATAACTGCCTACTATTATGGAAGCTGTCGTACTAACTTAAACCAGTGAATATTCTAAATCCATGCACCGCGCTAACAAATCAAAATATATATACAACCATCACCCAAAGTTAATGGAACATTTAACAACAATTAATAACCATATTAGTGTATACCATAAATGCATAATTAGTGACAGATTAACAAACATCATAAAACTATTGGTGATCATAACTCATAATAAAACTTCCTTAGTGTTAATAAATAAGTCCACAGCTTGCATGTGCTATTTCATCCAAAGTGCCAATGTTCTTATATATCCAAGAACATAAATATAAAGTGATAGATTCCCCTTGAATCCGGAGTGCTCCAGACTCCCGGTGACAGTGAGACACAAAACACACTCACCAAATATCCGTTCCAGCGGGGAGAAAAGAAAGTGACAGCCGGCCGAGCGCTGCAGGACGAGGGCGCTGTGAGCGGCCGGCGTCTCTCCTCCCACTGTTTATAAAAAATTAAATATTTTAAAAAATTGAAAAAATAAAAAACATTTTCGGTATCGGTTTCGGCCTGACATTTTTTTTATTTCGGTTTCGTTTCGGTTTTAAAATTTCCATTTCGGTGCACCTCTAGTTATATAGATTTTTTTTATTTCTTAGCACAGTACATGGATTTTGAACAGATAGACTGAGCCTAAAATGTTTGCTACAGAATAAGATTACATATTAGTAAGATATAAATCTGTCAAGATTTATGTAGCCACACCAGTTAAAGGAGAACTATGGGGTAAGTGTTTTTCCCCATAGTTCTCGTAAGGGTCACGGGAGGACATAAACTAGCGTCCTCCCGTGACCCAAAAGCTCAGTAAATCGGGAGCTACAGCTCGTGGTACACCATGACCGCCACAGCCGGGACAGATCCCGACATTACTGTTGAGATCCACCCAGCTGTGTGAATGACAGCTGGCTCTGCCTATCTAGAGCCAGCTTTACCCTCCCCCGTCCGTTCTGCCAGTCAGCACTGGAGGATCGGAGCAGGGGGGAATGCCTGCAGGGAGCCGTGAGTGACAGTCACCAAACTCTGCAGAGAGATGATCGAGAAGTGAGCGAGCGACGTTATGTGTTCGCTCACTTCCCGATCTATTGAGCCGACGTATGACAGTTTCATTGTCACGCGTCAGCTCAAACTATGAGGTTGAGTGAAAATCACTTACCTCATAGTTCTCCTATAATCCAAGTTTTAATTAATCTTCCACACTCAAATCTTATTTAACGTGATGAACCAATTTTCGCAAATTCCATTTAAACACAGTAGATAAAAACCTGATGATGAAACTGTAACACATATATACAGTATATCTCTTACTTTTGCAGCTGTACAATGTCCACATTTACTAACCGAATCACCAGTGTATATAAACTGTTCCCATCCATGGGAAAATGTCGGTGTTGGATCCCTATGTCACTTTAAATGTGCTGATGGATTTTCTCTTAATGGAACTGATAAGGTCCAGTGTCTTTCTTCTGGGAACTGGAATGAAGCACCTCCACATTGCACAGGTACAAGGGAAAGTATTGTATTTTTAGTGAGCATATATCTTTGAGTTATTTCGTTTTTGCCTTTATATTAAGGTTTTTATACAACTTTTACATATTTTTAAGCTTCCTCTTCCTTTTTGTCATTACATTAAAGATAGCAATTTGTATTACCTGTGGAAAAAAAAGATAGCAATTTGTTTGTTAGACACTAGAAATATGGTAAATTAGTTATTACAATGTCTGTATCTTTCTTGTAGCAACATTTCGTATGACTTGCTGTATAAAAAAAGAGTGGAAAGCATAACCATTGTGGAGGACTGTAAAGCAGAAGTTAGAGCTACATTTGTAATGATTAAATACAGTATGGCTCCCCCAATATACATACACTATTACATTACAAACAAAACATTTTTTTTTTTTTTGGTCAAGACTAACTCAGATTGATAACAGTATTTATATGAAGCTGATCTTGTTCGTATGTCTTAAAAATCATTGGAAAGACAATGTATTCCCTGTAACGCAGGGCATTGTAAAAGGTATACAAGTAACATAAATGTGGAATAGTAGTTATAATATATACACACTATAATAATAGTAATTAGTAATAAATAAATGTGTGAAGAAGGATTTTCCAGTTAATTAAAGTTTGAGTTTATCTTTCATACTCAAATCCTATTTAAAATTGAAACAAATCTACTCATATTCAGTTAAAACACAGTAGATAAATAGCTGTTGAAACTCTAACACATATACACATCTGTATTCTTTTGCAGCTGTACAATGTCCACATTTACTAACTGAATCACCAATGTATATGAACTGTTCCCATCCTTGGGGAAATTTCAGTTTTGAATCCCTCTGCCACTTTGAATCTCCCAATGGATTTTACCTTAATGGCACTGATGAAGTCCGGTGTCTTTCTTCTGGGAATTGGAATGCAGCACCTCCACATTGCTCAGGTACTGAAAATAGAGGGAAAGTATTTTGGAGTTTCCTTAACGTAATTTTTATGTGGCTTTGCAAGCCTGCTCTTCTTTTTTGCTATTATATTATCTATAGAGATGTATTTATTAGCCACTAGATGCAGGGTAGATTAGCTGTTACACTTACTCTGACAACTGTTGACATTGTTTTTTTTTGTTTTTTTTTTAAAGAACACGTGTTGATAAGATTATTTATATCAAGCTAATATTGTTCATAAGTATGTTATAACAATAATTGAAAATACTATTTGTTTCCTGTAAGTCACAGTGCATTGTGAAAGGGATATAACTAACAAGAAGAGGGGGAATGTGCATACACAGCACTGTATATCACTGTATATATACACAGCACATGGCAACTAATGTATTAAACTTAGTATGTTTGCTGCTGCAAAATATGATAACATGTTAGTAATAAGTAAATGTGTCACAAAGAAATTTGCTTATCTTATTTCTAATCAAACAATGAGTAGATCGTTTATTCTAAAAGTGATATTAAAGTCAAAAGGTTTTTAAGCTATTTCAAAAGCTGATAAAATCACTTACAATGGATGCTACTCCTTCATGTTTAAAAGTTTTAGCGTCCTGCAGAATCAGCTGGTCCCCTGAGTGCTGGCCCTGATATCCAGTTTTATGGTGGCTCCTTTCCCCTTGCAGGGTCCTATGGAGCGTCCCTTATGTGTGCTAGTAAGCTGTGTGTGTCTCCACAAACACACAGGCACAGCAAGGCAAGCCACTGCCCTGCTCCCTGCCAGAGGCATCCCCAGGGTGGGTGTTACCTGGTGCGCATCCGCTGGGACACCACGCACATGTGTGATGTCATCACGAACGTGCGTGATATCATCACGCACATGCGTAATGGCGTCATGTGCACTTGGTGATGGACACCGGCAAAGAGAGAAAGGGACACTCATCTGGTGGGATAAGGTATGCCGTTGGCTCCTCTCCTCTCTTGTGCAGCTATCAGGCTCTCGGTCCATGGCTGAGTGCCCGACTTTTGAGAGAGGGTGACACCAAAATGACTGTCAGTCATTTTGTTGTCAGCCCATCTAATGGTGTTACCTGCTGCAGGCCACACCCCCGAATTCCCCCTTGTGACACCACTCCTACCTGCTCCCTGCTACTCCCTCCTCCTTTCTCCAAGCTGGTAGATATACAGCTGCTGGAAACTGCTCTGTCCCTTGTGATTTTGTACTCCAATGAAAGTTCAGGGAAGCTGAGCTGAGAGATTTGGAACCAACATTTAAAGAAATACTTTGCTGGGATGTATATTTGTTTGATTTGGATACATTATTGGAAAACGTTTGAGAGCTTTTTGCTACTTTAAATCTTATTTAAAACTGAACGAGTCAATCTGTTGAATTGAAGAAGTGATGTTGTCATTCTAATACATATACACATCTGTACTCTTTTGCAGCTGCACAATGTCCACATTTGCTAACTGAACCACCAATGTATATGAACTGTTCTCATCCTTGGGGAAATTTCAGTTTTGAATCCCTCTGCCACTTTAAATGTCTTGATGGCTTTTTCCTTAATGGAACTGATACGATTCAGTGTCTTTCTTCTGGGAACTGGAATGAAGCATCTCCACATTGTTCAGGTACTGAAATTAAGTCACAACAGGGATTCAGTTTTTCACACAAATATGCATCTCTAACTGAAATAATGAAAGGTTTTAATAAAGCTTATGTAAAAATTATTTCATTAAAACTACTAATTAGGGATGCACCGATACTTTTCAGATACCTGTGCCGATACTTGGCATTTTCATGAGAACTACCAGGGTTGCAGCGGTTACAGCTGGGACCTAGCTCTGGCGCTCCACCACTGTCCTGAAATCATTAGTCGATATTGTTTTAGAAAAACTGTCACATGGCAATAAACAGAAATGTATCAGTACTTGTACTTGTAAGTACTTGGGCAAGTATCAGTACTTGTACTTGCAAAAATGGTATCGGTGCATCCCTTTATTTATATTTATAGAAACAAAATCATACATTAAAACAGAGATGTACAAATCCCAGGAGCTCTGTGTGTTCCTTACAAATGACAGCTGCCTCCTAACTTTTGAATTTTTCTCTCGTCTAGTCTTGGAGCTCGAAAACTATCTGTACTTGTACTTGTACTGAGTACGGTACTTGGTATCGGTGCATCCCTACTACTAATCAGGGACGTACAGAATTATGGAGGAAAAAGCTGTCAGCTTCATGTCTGAAGTTGACAGCTTTTTCTCCATTCAGATTGGCATCTAACAGGTTACATAGCAGGGAAATCCTCACTGCTGTGTAACCTGTCACGGAGCCTCAGCGGTGAGGAGCAAGTGAGCAACAGGGAGGCTCCTCCCTTCCTCCTTTACACCAGCTTGGGGATGGGTTCAGGGGCGGGGCTTCGCCCGGCGGGGGGCGGGGCCTCGTCCGAGAGGGGGGGGGTGGGGCTTCGGCCGGCGGGGGCAGAGCTTCGGCCGACAGGAGGTGGGGCTTTGGGCGGCGAGGCTGGGGAATGCCTCACCCCGAGCAAGAGGTACCGCACGTAACTGCTACTAATGTCAAATTTCTGAACATATGAAAAATACATGAAGTGCCTCATATGTTTCATTAAGGTTGATGAAGTGTAAGACTTAAAGCCTAATGTCCACTCACTGAACGGTAGCATTAAACACAATTGGTAAAGGTAGCAGGTTTGTGATACGAAGAAAAGTGATAAGAAAAAAAGAGAAGAGAGACACTGATTGGTTACTATGGGCAGCAGCTCAAGATTCTGTCTGCTCCAGTTTTGATAAATTACATTATTTGTCTTTAGTTTTCCGGTTTTATTGCCTGGGACATCTCTGGTATAGCTGAAGGGCTCAAAAGAAACACTTGGCAATCACCTTTCAACTGCTCCAATCTGATGATAGCTTATTGGTTAATATGTACATTGCAGTGTCTGTTAATTATCTTGAAAATAGGACAAAATATCTGACATTTTTAAAACCACCACTGGAAAATGATAGTTTGCATTTAGAAGCTTCAATTTAATTGGTTGCAGCACAAAATGTTTCCATTTTTAACATGTGCAATGGCACACACATGATTTAGAAAACTCTCAAGACCTTAAAATGCTATACATTTTCTGAACACAGGGGACTATGGAATAGAATTCTTCTTTTTCTATAATATATTCCTAACATGCCTCAATGTCTCTCAGGTATATGTGTAAGATAGAAGTGGATCCTCTGTGTCGCCAACAGGTGCCAGAAGGCTCTCACCAGGGCAGAGTCCAGCAAACAGCAGTTGATTCCATGGGAGACAGGACTAAAGGGACTTGGATTGTGATGCCAAGTTTGCACAGGGCAGTATCTCTGCCATTTGTTTAGTTCCAGTTACCCCAGACGAGGCCGCTGCTGACGGCTGGAGTGTTCTAATCAATATAGCAGAAGGGGAAATCTTGCTGCTGTGTGGATGTGGCCGGATGCATAAGTGCCCAGGCTCCAGATGGAGTTGAAAGCAGACCCTGAAGGACACTATTTATTATATCGATTGGAGCCTGGTCAGGGGCATCTAAGACTATTCAGTATTTATGGGCCAAATGTGAAAAATGCAATTTCTTTTTTACAAAAAACTAAATGACCTGGGATAAAGGGAACTTGGCTGAGGTAGATTATTGCATGCAATATTACAAAGGAACTAATTAGGGATTTCTTGAAAAAGAAAGGTGCACACTTGAATAGTTTGGAAACAGGAGCCTTAATCATTTATAAATGAAAAGCATATTTATGATCCCTGGAGGATATCACATGCATATCGCATGCAGAGAAAAACGATTACACGTGTCAAACAATGGTAAAAAAAAATTTTGGATGGACTTATTATTTTTAAACTTCAAGAACTATTATGGCAAATACGATGATTATTAAAATATATAATTTTGTTTACTCATATCAAGCACATATATCATTTTTTTCTTTAAACAAAGGGGTAGGACCCCTAGGTGGATGTTTCCAAATAATATGAGATTAAATGATAAATGTCAAAAATATATTGCAAAAATTACAAACTATGGGAAGACTTCCCCTGGTCCCTCAGTGGAAGAGTTGTTTAAAAAAAAAAAAAACACAAAACAATATATTGTAGAGGATGATACATTTTTTCCAGACCTCATCCTTCCTGATACCTTGTCAATATATAAAACAGTTAAATAAGGCTATGATGGTTTTATATGGAGAAGGAAGAGATCAATAGTTAATACCAGGGTCTTAGTCCTGAATTGTGTTGGTTTCAAAATACCCGTTACAATGTTCATCATTGATTAGTGTCATCATAGATTAGGTTCCTGGCTTTATTTGGTAATCCTAGATTTAAAGAAGGGTGGTAAGTTTTTAATAAAAATTATGGGTTTCCATACCTAAAAAAGTTTATGTCAACATGTTAGGAACCCAGAGAGCAAAATAATAGGTTAGATAAACTATTTTTTTTCATTATCAAATTAGAGGCTATACTTGTAGGATAAGATAGATATGTAATGATACTAAATGCATGATAGAGAATCTGCTAAGTAAATCCTTCAGCAAGTAGGGCCAATATATATTCTCCCATTGAAAGGACTTAACAAGTTTTTGATGAAGTCCAGGATCCACGCATTGAGTAAAACATATGATAACAAAAAATGATGGAAGGCTTATCTTCCACACCTCCATAATGTTGGTGAGGTAGTCATTGGGACAATTGAAGAGGTATTGAAAACACATAGGTACTGATTTGAGGAAGATGTATTTAAAAGCTTTTAACCGTAAGATATTTTATTGTGGGTCCATTATAACATTTTGGAATAAAGTGTCCTAAATTAGGATGGCAGGTGTCCTTGGCAGCCAGGAAAAAAATGTTAAGAAAACTTTTAAGATTACTACCAGCATTTGCTTAACAGAAGTCGTTTGTTGTTTAGTAAGACATTTTGTATGTATTTTCTACGTAATTTGTTAAATAAATAAGATGCTAAGAAAAAGTGGAGCACACGGCCCATGTCACAGTTCCTTGTACATTGATCCGACGCTGAGTTTTGCCTCCTGTCCGAGCTGCTCGGTTTCCTGTCAATCCGCCCTGAGCCTAGGTGTTAAAAGGCTTGTGCACCTGTGCTTTAGCGTTCAATCAACTCGTCTCCACGCTACTAGCCGGACCTCTCTGTTTCCTGTGGCTTTGCTGTTTGAGTATAGCTTGTATTTTGTGTCTTGCTTGCTCTTGTTGTTTTCAGTGTTCCCTTCCTGCTCTGCTCTTGCATTCCCTCTGTTTTCTGTCTGTGTACCTCTTTAGTTTAAATTCAAAGAACTTGCGCTAATGGAAATAATAAGAATAATAAAATATGGATAAAAGTTAGATTGGATAAAAATGGATAAAAATAAATGGATAAAAATAAATTATTCTAGAAGGGTAAGGGAAGCCGCTGAACAAAAAGGCACTCAGCCCCTATTAGGATGTATTATTTCAAAACGTA